GCCATTGACTTTGCAGAACATGAGCTGTTTTCCTGTGGGTCACACTGTGTCATGATTCATAGAGAAAAGGCTCAAGGTGAAGGAGAGAGGCAATACAATGAGTTGAAAGCCTCCACCTTCTATTTTAACCCCAGTCCCTTGCTTCCTGTCATTAAAATGAAGTTCAGTCCTGGTGATGTTGTTGCTTAAATTGTCACACTTTCTCAAGGTGAGAAGATGAGGGTCAAATACAGTGAAACACACTGAAAAGTAATTTGAAAGTCATAGCAACAGCTCTTGGCAAAGTTCATGACTAAGGAGCAAAACAGAATCAGGCATGTACTTTCAGGCAGAAGCAAGTAAGTTTATAGTCTTGCAGCTTTTCATATAAAATAATGTGAGAGAATATTGAATTGTATCATGAGTAATTTATTATCACTTTAATCTACAAATATACATGATAAAATATTCCTTAACACCAAGAAGTTGACTTGGTTCAACTCTCAGGTGAAAGAACATCAATTATCAGTTTGACTTGAGAGAGTGGTGTATTGTTTTGTTTTTCTATCAGAAATGAAGCTGTGCTAAGGTGAATATCTTATCCAAAGAGTCAAAAAACATTAATTTCATGTTCTGAACAGTTCCTAGGTGGTTAGATTTAGAGATGCAGGAAGGACATGGAAAGCCTTCATTTCTTTATACACGGTTAGGACTAAAGTCTACTGTACCCTGGAAGCATGTTTCCTAACGGTGCTTTCTTTATTGAATAAATTAAGCTCTTCAGGACCCAAATCCTATTATCTGATTTTAAAGAAAGCTCCTGATTTTATCAAGTGCTGATGGCTCAGTGGTTGCCTTGCTTGAAAGCATTCAGGAGAATATTGACTTTGAACATTCACTTCCAGAATGATCTTTGGTGACTAGAAAGGCCTTGTCTATGAGACATTGGATTCAATGACAAGTACTCCAGTCATCTGATCTTCTACATGGGGTCTATGATTAAGGTAGACCCCTGGGTACAGGGAGAGAATTTCATTGGATGACTTCATTAATCCCACTCTAGTGTTGTTTGGAATTGTTATTTTCTCACACGTTCTTGTTTATTGTCCTACTTCCTAATAGTGAGTTAGTGCCTTTTTAAGCAAAAATTAGAGTTTATTTTTCCTTCTTCCAGAGTATATACTATAGTAAGAATTTAAATTAAATGATGTATACTTAACATAAGGAATCTATTTTTAGTAAAACAAAAATCCTACATTTTTCTCTGTTACCTAGAGTATATTATTTGTGTATGAATTTAGCTTCTTTTTTCAGGCTAGTGTAAAACTGAATTTTCAAGAACTAATTCATTTAATGTGCATTAGAATTTACTATATGTCATTAATCATAATTTTGTCCTGTATGTTTTTAATTATGACTGCTATTTGACCAATTTTAGGGGACGAAGGGATTTAATCTCAGACAGAAAAAAAAAGGGAGGGTTAAAAAGAACTAGAAGAGGGCCCTCCCTGGTGGCGCAGAGGGTTAAAGCACAGCACTGAGAATCTAAAAGCCGCTTGCTTTCGCATGAGTTAGATTCCAGCCTGCCCGGGATCTGACCACATGGTGTGGCAGACCTCTCCTGGCCCACCCACTGCTCCCCTCAGCAGTGTACTTAGTTGATCTGCCTATTCTGCTCCCCACTGTGTCTCTGGTGAAGCCTCTCACCGCCCCTGAGCCTCTGGCCTGTACCCTAGTTCTGTGTGCACAAATAAATAAATCTTTGAAAAAAAAAAAAAAGCTAGAAGATATTGATTAAGGTCAGTGTTTAATGATAAATTGTACCAATAAACAACTTAAAAAAAAAAAAAGACACACGCATGTCACGCATGTCTGACCTGGAGGAAGGAATTGGTTTATATTCAGTCATATTTGGGAAACAGATGGTAGAGTCATTTTGTATGAACTTGGGTGATGCCAGTGCTCATATATCAGCTATTAAAATAATAAAATGAAAAAAAATGTCATTGGACATCGAATGACAATAAATGATGCTTCAATGTCATTGATTTTCGGGAAAATAGAGATGTTTATTAGATGAGAATTTAAAAAAAAAAAGATGTCATCAGTGAAAAATAATGATATATTCTTATCAGACTCAAAATATTTCCTCTGTGACCAGATTCATAAAGGTTATGAGAAGATGAGACAACTTAATTTTTTTACCAAGAGTTGGGGTGGGTCCCTGCAGCTCTGTTCCAAGCTGTGGCTTGGGAATGTAACTGGTTTTAATTAATCATGAAGCAGTGCCAGAGAAGCCCTCACAGTGCTGCTGTGAGTCTGGGCTGCTTGAGATTGCTAACAACTTCCTATTCACCTATCCACCCCTCTTTTTTCCTTTTATTGTTATTATTGAATTTCAGGAGAATGGGGGAAAGGTGAAAAGGTGGTTTTCTCATTGATTCAGCAGTTTATACATAGAACTTTTAATTATACTAAAGAAATAATTCAGCAAGACATGGCACTGAGACAGAATTTTTTAACTTAGATTTTAAAATGCCAAGATTTTATTTTAACAGAGTTCTGCCTACTGGGCCATGTTTTAGCCAAATATTTGTAAATGAATTAAGTAAAGATTAAAGTAAGAAAGTAATAAAGTCGGAAGAAAATAGACTAACAATTACAAGGCTAGTCCTTGAACTGTCACAACATAGGATGAATAGCTTTGGACAAGAAACTCATCAACATTATACTTTTCTTATTTATGATAGAGTTGGCAAATATCCTGGAAAATCCATTCCTATTTAAGAAATTGTCTCTGTATACAGTGAAACACTGTATTAGAAATTGGTTGTGATCACTTATTATTTCAGAATTTCCAGTTTCTTCACTCTTGTTTTTCTCCTTTCCCACATATATACATAAATTTAGTTTGTATCTTCTACTTCAAGTTCAGCTCTCCCCATATCAGAAACAATGTTGTTACTTTCTCTGGCTCAACTAGACATTCACCGGTTTAACTCCTTATTAGAATTCTGTTAAGACTCTTCCTCCCTTAAAATTGTTTTCATGAATGTAAATAAGACTTAGTGGAAGAAATAGGCTATAATTATTTATAGTCAGCAAAGACTGGTTTAATACTAAATCTCTGTCCAACTAAGTATGACCCATTAAGTAAGCTATCTAACATTTCTGAGCCTCAGCTTTCTCATTTACCCAATTGATAGGATATTTTAAAAGTATCTAATAATGAAGAGTATGAGAATTATTTTCAAATTAAAAGTGCTAATTAATTTTGAGCTATCATTAGTAATATGAGATTTGTGAACATACAAGGGCAAAAAATGCCTTCCTGGCTGTATGCATGAAGAGATAGATTGTCTAGTGTGTGCTCACAAATCATTCTTCAAGCACACAGAACCCACATCAACTTCTTAAAATCTTGACTGGGTCCTGGTGTCACCTGCTGTGAAGACAGACTTTCCCTAGCAGTAGTGTAGGCTTGGACATACCCAGTTCATCTGCACTTTCCCCACTCTAACATTAATGAGACAAATGCTATATTGGAATGTTGGCTTTTGAACTACACTATGTTGATAAGCATAATGTATCACTTCAGAGAAGTCACGGGTCTTCTAGAGCCCTTAATTTACCACTTTAGAAGTCCTTAGTAAATGAGAGAAAATGGATCAAACTGCTTTCCTCCACAACTTTCTTAAACTAGTATTGTACCATGTCACTAAAATACCCATTTCAGGAACTAAACAGGAAGAAACAACCATACACAAAATTCTGTATTCATTGCATTTAGTCTAGTACATGGATACTGATAGATGGGCCCCACAGACAAGGTCATTCAAACACATTTTGAATGTAAATAGTAAATGACTATTCCTTACTTTAACTACTTTATTACTGCTTTAACAGTTACTTAATAATGTTAAAAGAATTAACAATGAATTTATATAATATCTAATGAGTACCTTTTTTATGCTCCATTGAAGAAGACACATATGAAATAATATGATGTGGTTCTATGCCATATTTTGTAGTTCATATCAAAAGACAAGACCTGCATATATAAAATATTTCAGCATTGAAGTTGGGAGATTTTTAGTGATGAAATACATAGGTGTATATATGTGATATAGATGTATATGAGGTGTGTTTATGTATGATGAGTAAAATACTCTAGATGTCCAAAGTGTTAAACTAATGAAGAATGCTTTAGGAAGTAAAAGGTGAGCTGGATTTTAAAAGATGCATGGAAATAAGATGAAAAGGTGTTTTGCATCCCATCCCAAGAAGTAGTAATAGCATGAGACAATGATTGGAAATGGCAATTGGTACATGTATTTTACTCTATTATTTTTGGGCAGTGGTGAGTAGAGGTCATTGGAGGTGAATATTTAAAACAAAATAGAAGTATAACATACAGTATGATAAACCTTGAGTAAAAATACTCAAAATATGTATGAAGACAGAAGTGTTCAGATGGTGTTATTTCCACTAGCAAAATATTGTAATAATTTCAATTCCACCAGTAAGAGAATGCTTAAATAATATGGCACATTCACATTATAAAATGCTAGGATGTAGTTTTGAAGAATAAAGTAGATCTTTGCATGCTGACACAAAAAGACCACCACACAAAGACGTGACTGTATAAATGGAGAAAATGCATTGATGTAATATTAGCTAACTTTGGAAATTTATCTTATAAAATCAAAGTAGCATTTCAGGAAGATTAATGTGGTGACATTGTGTCACATTAAAAGGGAGAGACTGTAAGTGAAGATGGATGTTGGGAGGTGTTTCAAGAGTAAAGATGTAGGCAGCTAAGGATCAAGACCTGACTGTATAGAGAAAGAAAGAACCTGGAAACATTCTGAAGAAATATTTTTAAAGACAGATTCATAGTATAAGGTCTAAAGGAGAAAGGTATAAATTTAGAAAATATATACTAAGGAATGATTTCTACTAATTACAACACACTCATGTTAATCAGAAATCTTTGAAGAAATTGTTTGTTTGTTTCTTAGGATGGAAGAAACAGTAAAAAATCTATTGCAGAATCGAGGACCTCCAGAACAGAAGAAAGAAGAAACTGTTAATATAGTGGTCTATCAGGTACAATTTTATCTTTACTCTCTCTGTTAGGTAACAGTTAGCTTGTTTGTCTTACATTTATTTAACTCTGTCTTCTATTCCAGAGGTAAGTAAACCACTATTGTCCAGACTTAGTCATCTCTGTGTAAGGAATCAGATACATGATTATATAACTTATCTGCTTTATGAACTGCTACTGTGAAACAATGTGCACATTTGGTTGTAAGAATATACCCAAAATAAGTTTATAGTGAAAGGGAGAGACCTATAAAAGTAATACAATACCTCTGTGGTGAGAGCTATAGGACAGGTATCTATATCATTGTCTATAAACACAGGGATGGGACTGACATCCCAGGAAGGGAGTTAAGAAATCACTTCCCAGCAGTATGACACTTAAGGTGAACATGAGGGATTAAAGAACAAGGGCAGGACATCCGAAGCAGAAAGGGAATCAAGATAAAGGTACAGTGGTAAGAATTTGCATGGCAGGCACTTGGCGAATTGGAAGTTCAAAATATCTAAATAATGGCCTAGTCAAACAGAAAGTTTGATGTTAAGACAGTGCACAGAAGACCTGGATGAGATGTGTTGTTTGATGTGTGCTTGCTCATGGGTGTGGCCTTGTACCTGAGGCAATGTAAAGTCTGAAAATCTCCAAACGGATTGACTAGTCAATAAAGTAGCAGGTTGTCTGTCATCTGCCAGTAGCCCTTCTTTCAGGGTTCTTTAATACTAGCAGATTGGCCTGACTGGGAAGCAGGACACCTGAGTATGATCCATGTAGATCACACAGAAGTAAAGGTTCTTGTAAAGTGGGAAAAGCAACAACAGCACAGAGTACATACAGTAACTTATAGAAAAATTAAGGAATTTTATTGAAAAACCACAAATAAAGACCCAATATTCATTGCACCATTATGCATGGACACCATAAAAATCTATATAAACTACAGAAATACCTAAAAAGCAAGTGAAATTGAGGAAACAAACATAGGAGTTGAACTGGAAACATTATTTTACACTAACTTACCCAAATTCCTGGTTCAGAACTCTAAAACCTAACTTTACATAAAGAGGATTGGGAGGAATTATACACAGATAAGAAATGTAGGCAATTAGGCTCAAGATACCAACATCATAAATAAATGATTGCTAAACCATTTATGGCTTGCTTTATGAAGATGGGGACATTGTCCTCTATCTTCAGTGATCGAGTACAAGAAGCTGATTTATGGTATCTCTGGGTAGATTTCTAGATTTAGTTTCTTTTTCAGTGAGTAGTTTTTACATACAGAATGTTAAACTTTTCCTGATGTGTGTTTGCCTCAAGTAAGGATAAGGATTTACATCCTCTTAGCCCTGAATTGCTCCTAGGTATTATATCTGCTTTAGTAAAAAGTTGAAATATAAGTAAAAAAAAAAAAAAAAAAAAGGAAGGAACTGACTTGACTGCTTGAAATGACTCTATGAAGTCTAAAACAGTTCTATGAATCTGAAACGTTAGTCATTTGTTCCCACTCAAAGGTACCAATTAGAACTAAATAATTCAGTGTGGCTCTTGTGTCTTCCCAGTTTCTTTACTGAAACTAGATTTCATCCAGACACTTGTTTTCTTTTGATGATTCTTTTCTAATCTCTCCAGTCAATTGTTAGCCAAATCTGTTGTAAGACATTGAACATTAGCATGAGGATTCATTGTGTGAAATTGGAAGCTACTTAGGTAAACAGATAAACTTTTTAAAATGTGTTTTAAAACTGGTGGAGGGCTCTTCCTGGTGGCACAGCAGGTTAAAGCACCGCATTGTGAAGCCACTGCACAAGTTCTATCCCCTGCCAGGGAGCTGACCCACATGGCGTGGCAGACCTCTCCTGACCCACCCACAGCTCCCCTCAGCAGTGTATTTCTGCCTGTTCTGCTCCTTACTCTGTCTCTGATGAATCCTGTCATCCACCACACCTCTGGCCTGTACCCCAGTGCTGTCAGCATAAATAAATAAATCTTTAAAAAACAAAACAAAACTGGTGAAGGATCCTGGGTGCCTTGGTATTGGGTGTAGAGTGCTGACATATATTAACCTGTACCTCTGGATCCTATATAGTGTTGTAAAAGTGATCTTACCTCACAAAACAAAAGGCCCCACAAAAAACACTTTCTTCTCCAGTCTGTTAATTTTGGGAAGTTAGCTTTTTCTTTTAGAGAGAAGACGTGATTGGCCTGAATTAATGTTACACAGAAGGGATATTAACCACTGCTCTAATTGGCTTCTGCTCATTATCTGGAAAATGGAAGAGGGACGGGACATGGGTTACATGACTCCTAAAGGTCAATTATATATTCAGTAAATAGTCTAGTGAGCTTCTAGTGTCTATTAGGCACAGTATGTTCTCTGGAGACTCAAAAACTGAGGATGAGGAGAAAGGAAAGTGAAGTACTGGTAAGTGGAACTGAGTCCCTGGGAGGTCGTCTAACAAATTCTGGTATTCTAAGAATGAATCACAGTAGCAAGATTTGCATGATGAGCAAGTTTGTGAATGATGTATGTGGTGATATTAGTGGTGCACATAGATAACAGTGCTCTATAATGTTTTCAGGCAAGAGCTAGGAAACTGCTTCATAATGTACAGTGTCATTAGCATACCTGACTCAGAATTTTCCATATATAAGACCTCACTGACAGAAGACAGAAGCCCATAGAGAGGGTGGGTACCTTTTATTTTCTATGTTGGAAATCCAGAGGCTTTTATCATTCAACTAATATGACAGCAGCAGAGTAATAACTTCCTGTGTTCAAATTTCATGCCACTTGCTTTTCGCATGCATGAGACAATGGTTATATTTTGTTCAAGGGCTATGTTTCTGAAGACCTCAGTAAAGGAGGACCCACTATATGGCAGTCATTGACCAGTTCTACCATTATGCAGTTTTTGCCTCTTTTTTATTTTATAAGAGAAGTTTGTATAATATCAAGTTTTGTGTATGAAGTGGCATTATGAAATATTTTGTGGCCATGAGTCAAATGTACCCAATTCAGAGTCCAAGCAAATGAGACTAGATAAAAACTCATTCAGTCCCCATGACCACAGAAAGTACTATTTCTGTCCCATCGTAGAGATAAGGGCATTGGTTCAGAGTAGTCAACACTTTCCAAATATTCACAGCTTGGAAGGGGATTTAACTCTGATTAATCTGACTCTGTGGCCTCAGATCTTTATGTTGAGGAATTCTGAAGAGATTAAATGATGGGGCACAAACTAGCCAGATGGTTCTTATCTAACTTAGATGTTTACCACTTTTCACCTAGAGCTCTCTGTATCCATATACTTACCTTAATCTGACTCTGTGGCCTCAGATCTTTATGTTGAGGAATTCTGAAGAGATTAAATGATGGGGCACAAACTAGCCAGATGGTTCTTATCTAACTTAGATGTTTACCACTTTTCACCTAGAGCTCTCTGTATCCATATACTTACCTGTTCACTCAGTCATTTGAATGGCTATTATCTTTCTTACCTACACATATAATTTCCCATTGCTGTTCTAAATTTAGTGACTTAAAACAACACAAATTTATTATTATATAATTCTGGAAGTCAAAAAAATAAAAATCATGGCACTAGCAGTTTTTTCTGGGAGTTTCAGGACAGAATCAGTATCTTTCCTTTTTCACATTCTAGTTTTTCTTGCCTTTTTCCCTAGTATCAGAGTACATCACTCCAGCCTCTAGATCCATTGCCATATCTCCTTTCTCTGAGCTTAACCCCCTCCTTCCCTCTAATAAGGACTGATTACATTGGGCCCATCCAAATAATACAAGGTAATGGAACTATCTCTGATCTCAGGAGACTTGATCTGATAAAATTTGCAAATTGTTTTTGGCATGTAAGGAAATGTAGTCTCAGATTTCAGAGGTCAAAATGTAGACATCTGTCCTTCGCTGGAGGTGCAACAGGTTAGGAAGCAGCATTGCAAGTTAGCTACAGTCACTTCAGTGAGAGTTCGTCACCCCACCCCGAAGGTGATCCACATGATAGAGCAGACCCCTCCTGACTCGCCTGTTGCTCCCATCAGTGTATTTAGTTGATCTGCCCGTTCTCTCCCCATTCTGTCTCTGGTGTATCCTCTCACTACCCCTGCATCCCAGTTCTGTAGGTCTAAATAAATAAATAAATCTTTTTTAAAAATAAAATAAAACGTAGACATCTTTGGTAGGGTGAGGTGGGGGAGGTCATGATTCTACTTATAATACTAAGTAACACATTACTAGCACTCTGATGGTAGGTACCAGCCTATCTGGTAAAGACACAGACATGCCTACCGGATAGAGGCCTTTCAGGAAAACTTAGTTTATAGGTCTGGGGAGTAAGAGAAGGAAAACGATTAAATACGTGCAACATGATAGAATGCAAAGTAGCAGCTTGTAAAGGTTCTGGGACACAGAGGAAGATGCTGATAAACCTGCTATACTCTTCTCCCTGTTAATTTTGCCTAGGACTTATTTTTAATAATGCAGTTTCCTTTTCCTTTAGTCTCTGTTGTGTCTGGAAATGGATTCAAAACTCATTAACTTCCTTGTAAGATCCACAGTTGCCTTTCTAGGCATTTTATAGCCCCAGTGTTTTAGGAAACAGTTTGGCTTTCAGGATATATTTTGGTGCTTTACAGTTTACAAAGTGTTTACATAAAAAAGGTCTCATTTGATCATCTCAACAGACTCTAAAGTAGATGTTATCATGCTCATTTTTAAAGATGAATCTTAAAGAGACCTGTTGCAACTCTGGCAACTGCTAAGTGGTAGAAATAAATCACGCTTTTCTAAATGAAATACATTAATAAAATTGAGTAATTTTCTGTGGATAACTTGACGGTAGGGTAGAGGATGGGCACACGATAAACTCATCAGTTTACCAAAATACAAAAAAGTAATTGAAAGTAACTGGGATAAGTCATTTAATGTTTGTAACTGTCATTTTTTCCAGTGGGGAAAACAAACAAATGATAAAGAGAAATACTATCTTTA